GATTATCGACTACTCAACAACAAGACCGTGCCAGACAGACACCCGCTTCCCCGGATCCAAGACCTCACAGACTCACTCGGAGGTTACAGCTGGTTTTCCATCCTGGACCAGGGTAAAGCCTACCATCAAGGCTTCATTGCGGAAGGTTCAAGGTATCTGACAGCATTTACGACTCCTTGGGGCCTCTATGAGTGGGTGAGAATACCCTTTGGGCTGTCAAATGCTCCTGCAGCCTTCCAACGGAGCATGGAAGAGATGCTCGACACCCTCCGCGACGAGTGCTGCATCCCTTACCTTGATGATGTGCTTTGCTTTTCCAGGACATTTGAAGAACATGTTGAAGTGCTGAAGAAAGTCCTTAAAGCCCTGCAACACCATGGAGTGAAGCTAAAGCCCGAGAAGTGCGAGTTGTTTCGCAAAGAGGTGCGGTATGTCGGCCGTCTCGTGTCCGCAGATGGAGTCAAGGTAGATCCAAAAGACATTGAGGCTGTGCAGGCTCTCAAGCACAAAAGGCCACAAACAGTAGGAGAAGTCAGACAGCTTTTGGGATTCCTAAGCTACTATCGGACGTATGTGCAGGATTTCTCGCGGATTGCTAAGCCCTTGTATGATCTACTCCAAGTCAAGTCCGACATACCACCACCTACACCCCACCAGAGCCAGAACAAAACACGCCCAACTATCTTCTCGAGCTCCAGTACAGTGGAACAGGGAGCATCAAGAGATTCTTGAGCGCCTGATTGAAATGCTCACTCAACCCCCAGTGTTGGCCTATCCCGATTTCACCCGTCCTTTCATACTCCATACTGACGCATCCCAGAAGGGCCTCGGTGCCGTGTTATATCAGAACCAAGACAACAAGATGAGAGTGATTGGGTATGGGTCACGCACATTGACGCCAGCCGAACAAAACTACCACTTACACAGCGGCAAACTAGAGTTCCTAGCCCTCAAGTGGGCAGTTTGTGACAAATTTAAAGACTATCTCTACTACGCAAACCATTTCACCATCTTTACAGACAATAATCCCTTGACGTATGTCCTTAGCACCGCAAAACTCAATGCTGTCGGACATCGTTGGGTGGGAGAACTGGCGGATTTCCATTTTGATGTTAAGTATCGGCCAGGAAAAGTCAACATCGACGCTGATGTGTTATCCCGCCGTCCACTTGACATCAACCGATTCATGAAGGAGTGCTCAGAGGAACTGTCGGAGGAAGCTGTAGGTGCAGTATGGGAAGGGAGCAGAAGAGCCAAGGAAGGAGATGTTGCTTGGATTGCAGCCCTTAATCTAGTCACACCAAGTCAGCCACTCAAAGAACCTCTGCAGTCCATCAGTCATGACAAGCTCATCCAAGAACAAAGGGCAGATCCAGCTATCGGAAGAGTAATAGAGATGAAGGAGAAGGACTTGTTACCAACCGAAGATGACAAAGTGGACACAAACACGAAAAGACTATTGAGAGAATGGAGTCGACTACAACTAGAAAATGGCCTTCTTTACAGAAAAACAGCTGAGCGTAAGCAGTTAGTCCTGCCAGCGGTTTACAGACAGCTTACCCTCACACACCTCCATAACAACATGAGCCATGTCGGTGTTGAGAAAGTTCTGTGCCTGGCCCGAGAGCGGTTCTACTGGCCTTTCATGAAGAGAGAAATTGAGGAGTACATCACCAGGAAATGTCCATGCATCAAGCAGAAGAAGCCGACTACGCACGAGAGAGCACCCATGGGCAGCATAACATCTAGCTCACCGCTGGAGCTTGTTTGCATTGATTTCCTGCACCTTGAGTCTTGCAAAGGTGGGTTTGAGTACATACTCGTGGTAGTGGACCATTTCACCAGGTTCGCCCAAGCCTACCCAACCAAGAATAAGGCTGCAAAGACAGCAGCAGAACGTATTTTTAATGACTTCATCCCCAAATTCGGCTACCCCTCCAAACTCCACCATGACCAGGGTCGCGAATTCGAGAACGAGCTGTTCAAGTCACTCAGAGAACTTACTGGTGTTGGACACTCAAGAACTTCCCCATACCACCCCCAATGCAATCCTGTCGAACGACTCAATCGCACCCTGTTGCAAATGTTACGGACTTTAGGAGAGAAAGAGAAACAAAACTGGAAAGAGTATCTGCCCCATGTCATCCATGCATACAATTGCACCAAGCATGAAGCAACAGGGTTTTCTCCACACTACCTGTTGTATGGCAGGCATCCTCGTCTCCCAGTAGACCTTCTTTTTGGTCTCACCAGAGAAGACGACACAGAAACAACACATGGATATGCCGAGAAATGGAAAGGAAAGATGACAGAAGCCTATCGTATCGCAAATGCAAACAGTCAGCAGTCAAGTTCCAAAGGCAAAGCAAACTATGACAAAAGGTGTAAAGGAGTAACACTACAGATTGGAGACAGAGTACTTGTACGAAATCTAGGTGAAAGGGTGGTCCAGGCAAACTTAGACCCTACTGGGAGCAAGTAGTTTACGTCGTTAGAGAGCAAGTTGGAGACAATCCCGTCTACAAAGTGAGTCCAGAGACAGGAGGCCGTCCCATCCGCACGTTACACAGAAACTTACTGCTACAAGTGAACGACCTACCAGTGGACATTGTCCAAAGCCAAGCCGCAGAACCACACAAGAGAAACAGAGAATCCACCAAAAGACCAAAGACACCAGAACACCGTCCGGAGACAAGCGACTCAGAAGAAGAGCCAACTTACTGGCTACGAGTACCCAGACATTTACATGAAAGACAATGCCCAGTTGAACATGAGTCCCAAAGCAGCCCTTGTCCCAACCAGGCACAAGTAGAAAACACTTTCGGCCAACCTGGACAAACAAGACATACAGTTACGGGAGAGGAGCGACAAGAGAGTGGAAGCAATTCAGACCTACCACGCCCAAATGACAACCAGATGCTTCAGCTTCACAAAGACGCCGCGGAACCAAGCCCTGGTCCAGCAGTATATCCCAGTTCACTACCCGGTCCGGAGTCAGAGTCCAGCCTCCGCCCAGAGTCCAGCCTCCGCCCAGAGTCCAGCCTCCGCCCAGAGTCCAGCCTTCGCCCAGAGTCACCGCCCCGTCTGAGGCAGTCCACCAGAGAGAGACGACCCAGTACGTTCTTCACCTACCAGTCCTTGGGCCAACCAACCTACCAGACTCGTCCGTCGGTGAACACAATCAACGTTCAGCCATCCCCATATCCTTTCCTGTATTACCCCTCTCTTTACCACCAACATCTCTACCCCCCTCCTCTTACTCCTAACCCCTACTTACCTTCTTATGGTATGGTCCTGTGAAGATGCCAGAAATTTAAGGACATTAGAGATAAAAAGACATTCCAGAGACATTTGAGCAAAGACATTTAGAGACTGGGTTTTGTTTAAGTTAAGTGTCAGGAGCCACTTTTGTTGTTGGGGAGCATGTGGTACACCCAAATATGTGTAACCACAATTGTTGTGCCTTATTTCAGATATGTTTTGTTTGCATTTATATTTGTGTAACTATTTGTTTGTAATTTAGAAATAATTCGTATATATTTAGTAAAGGTAGTCTTGTTTAAATTTAGAGAGTACAGAGGAAGAAATGCAGGAACTGTTGTCATTCTCAGTTGTAGTAGGGGGACCGAATTGACCGTGACCCTCAGACACAATCTGAAGTGAAACGAGTGCTGACTCATTACTCCTCTGAGACTTTTCTTATGTTTTTCACAGGTTTGTATTTGGCCCAGAATCGCCATAATTTAAACATCTACACATGAGTATACTTGTGGTTGTAAATAACGAAATATTTAGATTGACTGTGTAACGTTTGAGAACGGTTTTAAATGTGTAACTGCCGAATGAGCTAACAATGCTAATGCTAGCGCCAGAGTCCAGTTAGTTTTTTTGTGGCACTTTTCGACCAGTATTAGGCATGTTTAGAGCAAATACCATCAGAGTGGTAACATGTAGTGCCCTTTTACTTCTAAAAGCCTCCTGTCATGTGAATGTTTAAGTTTAGAACCCAGTCAGTTTCAGTTGTTGTTGTGTGATGTTGTAAAGATATGAGACTGTTCCACTCAAAAGTCAGTCAGTAAAGCTAAGGTTAATTTGTAAAGTGTCCAATATGTAAAAGGAACTTTGTAGTATTAATTTTGAGAATTTAGAAAGAGTTTGAAATGTGTAAAATGTGAAAGTGAATTTTCTAATTGCTGTTAATAAGAGACACAATCTGAAGTGAAACGAGTGCTGACTCATTACTCCTCTGAGACTTTTCTTATGTTTTTCACAGATTGCGTGTCACATATTTTTGTTCATGTGGTCTCAACTCCAGCTTGGGACCCGTAACAAACTTTGGGGGCTCGTCCGGGATCTCTCCTCACTCAGTCAACGAGGACAGATCCAGTGATATTAGAACTACGACACAACGACCAGACCGCTACCCCAGCCAAACTTCCCGGTGGGTGTCCAGGAGGGAGATCAAAGTGGAAAGGATCTTCGCCTCAATGTGGAACCGCACGGCAGTGAGGAAAGTGTAGCGTGCTCAAGTCACCACAGAGTTATTACACAATAATCAAACAGTCAAAATGTCAACAGAAAGAAAGGAACTGATATGGAGCATCAGGGGGCGTTTATTCACACTCAAAGATTCAGATCTTCACAAGCTTGCAGGGAGTCTCGCAGTAGAAACTAAGGACACAGTACTGTTCAACCAAGATGATAAAGAGGGTTGTATGGATTATGTTACTTCCTACTTGCAATCAAGTAAACTACTCCAACTTGAAGATGAGGGATTAAGTGAACTGTTAGTGCTGAATGATCTAATAGACCAAATCACTCAAACCAGTAACTTGGCTGTGACACCGAACCAAATTGAAACACTAGACATGGCTAGCCCACATTCATCCAACATACCAGATCCACAGCCAGCTGCAATGCCACCTGATGAAAATGCATACATCGAAACACAGTCAATAGAGGAGTTGAAGAAAGCTTATGAGACACTGGGTGAGAGACTAAAACTATGTCAAATGTCGCAACCTGCACATGTTAATACACTGAGCTATCAGAGTCACTCACAGACATGTCCCAGAGTACAAGTAATTCCTGAGAGACCAGTTACACTCAAAGATCTTTCCTACTTGCCTCGAAAAGAGTTCAAAGTGTTCGGCGGACAAATAGGAGACAATAACTCTGAAATAAGCTACAATAGTCTCACAAAGCAGATCAATGAAGGAATCAGAGAAGGATTTGCTGAAGCTGAAATTGTTAGAGGTGTGCTGAGAATTGTTAAGCCTGGCACATTCAGGGACATGCTCATGCTCAAAGACGACCTGTCTGTCCCGGAACTTCAGGGCTTCCTTAGGTCACATCTAGGAGAAAAGGCAACAACAGAGATGTTCCAAGAACTAATGTGTGCGAGACAAACAGAACAAGAGTCTCCTCAACAGTTTTTGTATCGCATGATCGGACTCAAACAGAAGCTTATGTTTCAATCAAAGCAGGCGAACACTGACATTTCTTATGATCCGAGAACTGTCCAAGAGGTGTTTCTTCACACAATCTATCAAGGCCTGGGTGTTAAATACGCAGATTTGAGACGACGGCTAAGACCCCTCACCTCAAACAAAAGCGTTACAGATGAAGAGATTCTTAGTGAGGTCACAAAGATAATCAGCGATGAAAACGAGCACCAACGTAGGCTGGGTCAAGTGACACGACAAAAGACACCACAAGCTCAAAGTGCCGCGATTGAGACTCAAGACAAGATAACTAAAGAACAACAAACTTCACAGACAATCAAACAACTTGCTGACCAAGTAAAGACTTTAACTGACATGGTTGCCAGTCTAATGCAACAAAAAGCAGCACAACCCCCTCCTTCACAAGCACCACCTCCTCTACCTTTCCGACCCACAGTCAAACCCTTCAAACCAGCCCAAAACAAAATATATCTTTGTCCAAGATGTACTGAACAGAACTTGCCAGAATGTCATCATTGCTTTGTGTGCAGTGAGCCAGGACACCGAGCAGTGGGATGCCTAAAGCGAACCAAAGTTCCGGGAAACTGGAATCGGTCTCTGTCGGGGGACAGTCAGAGACCACAGCAATGCCCCAGTCCCAGTCAGTAAAGCCTACTTCATCACAGCGCACAAAGAACCATGACAAACGAGACAAGAAGACACAACTTGTCTCCGCGTGCCAAAGCTCTACCTCCACAAGCTGCAAAGCTCCCTTAGTTGGTAAAAAGAGTCTCCTTAAGTGTTTGATTGGTGGCTATCCTGTAACAGTATTGTTTGACTCTGGTTCACAAGTGAGTATAGTTGACAGGTCATGGATCCAAAGATATATTCCCAACTATCAAGTTAGACCACTCCAAGAGCTACTAAATGATGGACTTGAAGTTTATGCGGTTAATGGCCAAGCAGTACCCTACGACGGCTGGGTTGAGCTCACTGTTACACTAGCTGGTCATGAAGATCCCAATCTAACTGTACAAGCGCCATTCCTAGTGAGCAAACTGTCACTCCCTCAACCGCTAGTAGGAGCTAATGTGCTTGGGGCCATCATTCAAAGGCAAGAGTCAGACGAAGAAGCCAGTGCCGTGCTGTATAGTCTATTACGCAGAGCTTTTGGTATGGATGAAGAACAAGTTGTGGCTATGGTACACTTCATACAAGTGCCACCAAAGACAGATTGTGACCCAGTAATAGTGAGAATCGGCAGAGACAATATCACTATCCCAGCCGGTAAAGCTGTTCAAGTTTGGTGCAGGGTGCCCCAAAAATTTGACACCTCTGACCCCATTGTGTTATACGAACCCGAAGAGAACAATGTACTGAGACATCTAAGCGTCGGAGAAGGACTTATGGAGATTAACAACCCACAAAGGCCTTTTGTCAAGATCCCCATCTCCAACCACTCAAAACACGAAATAACCCTACCAAAGAGAACAGCCCTGGGTACCATTCAGCACGTCGCTAAAGTTATTGAGACTGACACGCACACAGACGCACCAGAGCCAACTCCATCCATACAAGCTATAGCCACCGCAGTTGAGGTAACGAAAGTCGCCTATTCTCAAGGTATGCCTGCAGAGTCATGGTTACCCCCAGTTGACCTAAGCCATCTGAGTCCAGATCAGCAAGAATCAGTCAAAAAGGTATTGATGGAAGAGAATGGGGCGTTCGCTCACAACAGTAGTGATATTGGCTGTATCCCTTCGCTGCAGATGGAAATCAGACTCAAAGATGACACGCCTGTTCAGAGGGCCTATGCTTCCATCCCGAAACCACTTTACAGAGAAGTAAAGGAATATATCCAAGAGTTGATTGTTAAAGGATGGATTGTCAAGTCCCAGTCGCCCTACGCCGCCCCTGTCATCTGTGTGAGAAAGAAGGACGGATCTTTACGCCTGTGTATTGATTATCGACTACTCAACAACAAGACCGTGCCAGACAGACACCCGCTTCCCCGGATCCAAGACCTCACAGACTCACTCGGAGGTTACAGCTGGTTTTCCATCCTGGACCAGGGTAAAGCCTACCACCAAGGCTTCATTGCGGAAGGTTCAAGGTATCTCACAGCATTTACGACTCCTTGGGGCCTCTATGAGTGGGTGAGAATACCCTTTGGGCTGTCAAATGCTCCTGCAGCCTTCCAACGGAGCATGGAAGAGATGCTCGACACCCTCCGCGACGAGTGCTGCATCCCTTACCTTGATGATGTGCTTTGCTTTTCCAGGACATTTGAAGAACATGTTGAAGTGCTGAAGAAAGTCCTTAAAGCCCTGCAACGCCATGGAGTGAAGCTAAAGCCCGAGAAGTGCGAGTTGTTTCGCAAAGAGGTGCGGTATGTCGGCCGTCTCGTGTCCGCAGATGGAGTCAAGGTAGATCCAAAAGACATTGAGGCTGTGCAGGCTCTCAAGCACAAAAGGCCACAAACAGTAGGAGAAGTCAGACAGCTTTTGGGATTCCTAAGCTACTATCGGACGTATGTGCAGGATTTCTCGCGGATTGCTAAGCCCTTGTATGATCTACTCCAAGTCAAGTCCGACATACCACCACCTACACCCACCAGAGCCAGAACAAAACACGCCCAACTATCTTCTCGAGCTCCAGTACAGTGGAACAGGGAGCATCAAGAGATTCTTGAGCGCCTGATTGAAATGCTCACTCAACCCCCAGTGTTGGCCTATCCCGATTTCACCCGTCCTTTCATACTCCATACTGACGCATCCCAGAAGGGCCTCGGTGCCGTGTTATATCAGAACCAAGACAACAAGATGAGAGTGATTGGGTATGGGTCACGCACATTGACGCCAGCCGAACAAAACTACCACTTACACAGCGGCAAACTAGAGTTCCTAGCCCTCAAGTGGGCAGTTTGTGACAAATTTAAAGACTATCTCTACTACGCAAACCATTTCACCATCTTTACAGACAATAATCCCTTGACGTATGTCCTTAGCACCGCAAAACTCAATGCTGTCGGACATCGTTGGGTGGGAGAACTGGCGGATTTCCATTTTGATGTTAAGTATCGGCCAGGAAAAGTCAACATCGACGCTGATGTGTTATCCCGCCGTCCACTTGACATCAACCGATTCATGAAGGAGTGCTCAGAGGAACTGTCGGAGGAAGCTGTAGGTGCAGTATGGGAAGGGAGCAGAAGAGCCAAGGAAGGAGATGTTGCTTGGATTGCAGCCCTTAATCTAGTCACACCAAGTCAGCCACTCAAAGAACCTCTGCAGTCCATCAGTCATGACAAGCTCATCCAAGAACAAAGGGCAGATCCAGCTATCGGAAGAGTAATAGAGATGAAGGAGAAGGACTTGTTACCAACCGAAGATGACAAAGTGGACACAAACACGAAAAGACTATTGAGAGAATGGAGTCGACTACAACTAGAAAATGGCCTTCTTTACAGAAAAACAGCTGAGCGTAAGCAGTTAGTCCTGCCAGCGGTTTACAGACAGCTTACCCTCACACACCTCCATAACAACATGAGCCATGTCGGTGTTGAGAAAGTTCTGTGCCTGGCCCGAGAGCGGTTCTACTGGCCTTTCATGAAGAGAGAAATTGAGGAGTACATCACCAGGAAATGTCCATGCATCAAGCAGAAGAAGCCGACTACGCACGAGAGAGCACCCATGGGCAGCATAACATCTAGCTCACCGCTGGAGCTTGTTTGCATTGATTTCCTGCACCTTGAGTCTTGCAAAGGTGGGTTTGAGTACATACTCGTGGTAGTGGACCATTTCACCAGGTTCGCCCAAGCCTACCCAACCAAGAATAAGGCTGCAAAGACAGCAGCAGAACGTATTTTTAATGACTTCATCCCCAAATTCGGCTACCCCTCCAAACTCCACCATGACCAGGGTCGCGAATTCGAGAACGAGCTGTTCAAGTCACTCAGAGAACTTACTGGTGTTGGACACTCAAGAACTTCCCCATACCACCCCCAATGCAATCCTGTCGAACGACTCAATCGCACCCTGTTGCAAATGTTACGGACTTTAGGAGAGAAAGAGAAACAAAACTGGAAAGAGTATCTGCCCCATGTCATCCATGCATACAATTGCACCAAGCATGAAGCAACAGGGTTTTCTCCACACTACCTGTTGTATGGCAGGCATCCTCGTCTCCCAGTAGACCTTCTTTTTGGTCTCACCAGAGAAGACGACACAGAAACAACACATGGATATGCCGAGAAATGGAAAGGAAAGATGACAGAAGCCTATCGTATCGCAAATGCAAACAGTCAGCAGTCAAGTTCCAAAGGCAAAGCAAACTATGACAAAAGGTGTAAAGGAGTAACACTACAGATTGGAGACAGAGTACTTGTACGAAATCTAGGTGAAAGAGGTGGTCCAGGCAAACTTAGACCCTACTGGGAGCAAGTAGTTTACGTCGTTAGAGAGCAAGTTGGAGACAATCCCGTCTACAAAGTGAGTCCAGAGACAGGAGGCCGTCCCATCCGCACGTTACACAGAAACTTACTGCTACAAGTGAACGACCTACCAGTGGACATTGTCCAAAGCCAAGCCGCAGAACCACACAAGAGAAACAGAGAATCCACCAAAAGACCAAAGACACCAGAACACCGTCCGGAGACAAGCGACTCAGAAGAAGAGCCAACTTACTGGCTACGAGTACCCAGACATTTACATGAAAGACAATGCCCAGTTGAACATGAGTCCCAAAGCAGCCCTTGTCCCAACCAGGCACAAGTAGAAAACACTTTCGGCCAACCTGGACAAACAAGACATACAGTTACGGGAGAGGAGCGACAAGAGAGTGGAAGCAATTCAGACCTACCACGCCCAAATGACAACCAGATGCTTCAGCTTCACAAAGACGCCGCGGAACCAAGCCCTGGTCCAGCAGTATATCCCAGTTCACTACCCGGTCCGGAGTCAGAGTCCAGCCTCCGCCCAGAGTCCAGCCTCCGCCCAGAGTCCAGCCTCCGCCCAGAGTCCAGCCTTCGCCCAGAGTCACCGCCCCGTCTGAGGCAGTCCACCAGAGAGAGACGACCCAGTACGTTCTTCACCTACCAGTCCTTGGGCCAACCAACCTACCAGACTCGTCCGTCGGTGAACACAATCAACGTTCAGCCATCCCCATATCCTTTCCTGTATTACCCCTCTCTTTACCACCAACATCTCTACCCCCCTCCTCTTACTCCTAACCCCTACTTACCTTCTTATGGTATGGTCCTGTGAAGATGCCAGAAATTTAAGGACATTAGAGATAAAAAGACATTCCAGAGACATTTGAGCAAAGACATTTAGAGACTGGGTTTTGTTTAAGATAAGTGTCAGGAGCCACTTTTGTTGTTGGGGAGCATGTGGTACACCCAAATATGTGTAACCACAATTGTTGTGCCTTATTTCAGATATGTTTTGTTTGCATTTATATTTGTGTAACTATTTGTTTGTAATTTAGAAATAATTCGTATATATTTAGTAAAGGTAGTCTTGTTTAAATTTAGAGAGTACAGAGGAAGAAATGCAGGAACTGTTGTCATTCTCAGTTGTAGTAGGGGGACCGAATTGACCGTGACCCTCAGACACAATCTGAAGTGAAACGAGTGCTGACTCATTACTCCTCTGAGACTTTTCTTATGTTTTTCACAGGTTTGTATTTGGCCCAGAATCGCCATAATTTAAACATCTACACATGAGTATACTTGTGGTTGTAAATAACGAAATATTTAGATTGACTGTGTAACGTTTGAGAACGGTTTTAAATGTGTAACTGCCGAATGAGCTAACAATGCTAATGCTAGCGCCAGAGTCCAGTTAGTTTTTTTGTGGCACTTTTCGACCAGTATTAGGCATGTTTAGAGCAAATACCATCAGAGTGGTAACATGTAGTGCCCTTTTACTTCTAAAAGCCTCCTGTCATGTGAATGTTTAAGTTTAGAACCCAGTCAGTTTCAGTTGTTGTTGTGTGATGTTGTAAAGATATGAGACTGTTCCACTCAAAAGTCAGTCAGTAAAGCTAAGGTTAATTTGTAAAGTGTCCAATATGTAAAAGGAACTTTGTAGTATTAATTTTGAGAATTTAGAAAGAGTTTGAAATGTGTAGAATGTGAAAGTGAATTTTCTAATTGCTGTTAATAAGAGACACAATCTGAAGTGAAACGAGTGCTGACTCATTACTCCTCTGAGACTTTTCTTATGTTTTTCACAGATTGCGTGTCACATATTTTTGTTCATGTGGTCTCAACTCCAGCTTGGGACCCGTAACATATACATACAGTAGATCTATGGCCAAACTATAGCGAGGCTAGGTGAGTAAGAGCTAAGCTAGCTACTTATCAAACTGAACTACTTTAGTAGTAATCTTGACAAACTTGAACTACAACCACACATTGCGTTGCCAATGATTGGTTTATGATAATATAAAATTATAATTTATTTGTTTATAATGATGGTGGAATGTTTTGAAATGACATTCAACTCAATGAAGCGTTTTCTTCTTCTGTGATGAGCCGTAAGACATGATATAAAACATGTTTATGAGAAAATAATTTGAATTCAAATTGAATTGCATCAGTTTGTTTTGAGACTGGAGCCTCTGATGATGATCCGAGTCTCGCCGCTGACTGGGCTGACCCGAGTCTCGCCGCTGACTGGGCTGACCCGAGTCTCGCCGCTGACTGGGCTGACCCGAGTCTCGCCGCTGACTGGGCTGACCCGAGTCTCGCCGCTGACTGGGCTGACCCGAGTCTCGCCGCTGACTGGGCTGACCCGAGTCTCGCCGCTGACTGGGCTGACCCGAGTCTCGCCGCTGACTGGGCTGACCCGAGTCTCGCCGCTGACTGGGCTGACCCGAGTCTCGCCGCTGACTGGGCTGACCCGAGTCTCGCCGCTGACTGGGCTGACCTGAGCCTCGCCGCTGACTGGGCTGACCCGAGTCTCGCCGCTGACTGGGCTGACCCGAGTCTCGCCGCTGACTGGGCTGACCCGAGTCTCGCCGCTGACTGGGCTGACCCGAGTCTCGCCGCTGACTGGGCTGACCCGAGTCTCGCCGCTGACTGGGCTGATCCAAGTCTTCCTCTCCTTTTGTTAGATTTCTGGATTTGGAATTTTGTAGTTTGGAATGATGTTTATTGGGCTCTGCACAGACACAGACAGTTGAGAACTCACCACAAAGAGGCGTGTTCTTCAGTCTGTGTGAAGCATTGATTTATGGATGAGGTTCGTTAAACAAACACTTCCTGTCGTCGTCTGAAGAGGCCGCCTTAAAATTACTACCTTTAGAAATAGTCTTAGTGCTAATTATGTTTCTACTAAAAGAATGTTTACAGATACAAGGAAGAGAAAGCTCCGGACGGCATTTCAAACAGTTCTGTGTGTGTGTGCGTGTGCGTGTGCGTGTGCGTGTGCGTGTGTGTGTGTGTGTGTGTGTGTGTGTGTGTGTGCGTGTGTGTAAGGATCATAAACCCATGTGTAGCTGTTGTGTAGCTGTCACACACATGATTGACAGTGGGTTTGACTCTTGGCTTCAGGACAAAGGTGAAACTAAACTGAATCAGGATCTGACTGGAAACATGTCCAATATTAAAATGTATTTACAAAGTCAATTATTTAGTTTGATGCAAAAATAAACACAGTCTCTCTCGGGTCTCTCTCTCTGGTCTCTCTCTGGTCTCTCTCTCTGGTCTCTCTGTGGTCTCTCTGTGGTCTCTCTGTGGTCACTCTGTGGTCTCTCTGTGGTCTCTCTGTGGTCTCTCTGTGGTCTCTCTGTGGTCTCTCTGTGGTCTCTCTGTGGTCTCTCTGTGGTGTCTCTGTAGTCTCTCTCTCTGGTCTCTCTCTGGTCTCTCTCTGGTCTCTCTCTGGTCTCTTTGACAAAGATAGAAAGATGTTCCTTGCTCCGCCCTCTTGAACTGGGGCCAACACAAACCGCAAAAACTGGAAACAAGTCCTAGTCTCGTCCTCAGTGCAATAAGTGTGTTCCTCGAGGACAGACGCCGCTCGGCTCAGGTTAGATTTTATTTTTACCACTAATTTCATATTTGAGGAGTTGAGATTAGAAAAAAGTTAGAATTAATCTGCACCTGCACAAGACCCCTTTAATGTGGAGGAAATGAGGTCACATCCAAGGCCGTGCGGATCGAGTTGGGATCACAGACTGTAGATGGACGATGCCAACGCTGCAGCTCAATCAGGCCTAACTAGGTAAGTGCTCATGGACGAAGTTTGGCTCCAAGTTGCTCTGGCTCTGTTTGTCACACTCACCATTTCGGGCTTAAAAGTCTGCGGTTTAGTGCTCTCTGTGGTCCTGGAGTTTATGTTGTGATACTGTCTTTGTAAATCCAGATTATTATTATAAGGATTGAGCTATGCCTATATTCACTGGGGAAACTCTAGCTTTCCTTAGCAACCGTCTTAGCAACATGTCTGCCGCTGCTAAAAGTCAAAGCTAATGCTGCAGAAGAAATGCCCATGTTAGATCATTGGCTCAAGCTAGTTTTCCGTACGTTCTGGACTATAAGACTCACCGGTACATGAGTAAAATCAATGTTGTCCACATATAGGCCTCACCTGAATATAAGCCTCAGATGTTTATGTTCTAATGTAGCAGAGAGACGGCTCCTTTAAGTGGTGGGGGAAACATAGATTCTGTTCAGTATCGCGGTGGATACAGTAGAGAAAAGTGTTGCAATATTTAAATCCATAATTATCTGTTGACGTTCATGTTTCCTCTGGTCTTTTCCACCTGAGGTTTCTGTTCCTCCATGATCTCTGCTTTGACCCTAGTCTTGGGTATTTGAAAAAAAGTTATGTCGATCAATCAATCAATCAAATCTGTATTTGTCGAGCACATTTAAAACAGCCTAGGCTCACAAAAGCACAATAAAAACACATTATAAAAACAAATACATACAGCTAAAAACCAAAAACTTGTCTTGTTCTACTTGGTTTTAAAAGCCAAAGAGAAAAGGTGCGTCTTAATGTTCTGGGAGCTTACTCGCAATAACTATATATGTGCAATAACTAGATGTGTGCAATAACTAGATGTGTGCAATAACTAGATGTGTGCAATAAATAGATGTGTGCAATAACATGCTGTGTGCAAAAACTAGACGTGTGCAATAACAAGATGTGTGCAATAACTATATGTGTGCAATAACTATATATGTGCAATAACTAGATGTGTGCAATAACTAGATGTGTGAAATAACAAGATATGTGAAATAACAAGATATGTGCAATAACAATATATGTGCAATAACTATATATGTGCAATAACTAGATGTGTGCAAAAACTAGATACAGTATGTGCAATAACTAGATGTGTGCAATAACTAGACAAATGCAATAACTATATATGTGCAATAACTAGATACAGTATGTGCAATAACTAGATGTGTGCAATAACTAGATACAGTATGTGCAATAACTAGATGTGTGCAATAACTAGACAAATGCAATAACTATATATGTGCAATAACTAGATGTGTGCAATAACTAGATGTGTGCAATAACTATATAGGTGCAATAACTAGATATGTGCAATAACTAGATGTGTGCAATAACAAGGTGTGTAATAACAAGATGTGTGCAATAACTAGACAAATGCAATAACTAGATGTGTGCAATAACTAGATGTGTGCAATAACTATATATGTGCAATAACTAGATGTGTGCAATAACTATATATGTGTAATAACAAGATGTGTGCAATAACTAGACAAATGCAATAACTAGATGTGTGCAATAACAAGATGTGTGCAATAACAAGATGTGTGCAATAACTATATATGTGCAATAACTAGATACAGTATGTGCAATAACTATATATGTGCAATAACTAGATACAGTATGTGCAATAACTAGATGTGTGCAATAACTAACCCTCTTCATGTTTACATTCCTGTTTCTAATTTGTCACATTTGAATCATTTCGTACCATTTTAATAAATTCGCTGCTTATGTTTTTATAGATCTGAAGATGGAAACAGATGAAGAGGAAGGCTCCGCCCTCTCCCCTCCTCTGCGGTGAGAGCGGCACAGACACATTTATACATATTCAGTCTGAGGAAGAACCAGTGCTGCTGTTCTTACTGTTCCAACTCTGAAGTCTGAAAACTGCTGAGTCACAGGAGAATGGTCCAATCAGAGGCTCATCTGGCTCTTTAACGTCTCACTTTACTGTGGACCCTTTACTGTGGACCCTTTACTGTGGACCTTTACTGTGGACCCTTTACTGTGGACCCTTTACTGTGGACCCTTTACTGTCGACCCTTTACTGTCGACCCTTTACTGTGGACCCTTTACTGTGGACCCTTTACTGTCGACCCTTTACTGTTGACCCTTTACTGTGGACCTTTTACTGTGGACCTTTAGTGTGGACCTTTAGTGTGGACCCTTTACTGTGGACCCTTTAGTGTGGACCCTTTACTGTGGACCTTTTACTGTGGACCTTTACTGTGGACCTTTACTGTGGACCCTTTACTGTGGACCCTTTACTGTGGACCCTTTACTGTCGACCCTTTACTGTCGACCCTTTACTGTCGACCCTTTACTGTCGACCCTTTACTGTCGACCCTTTACTGTGGACCTTTTACTGTGGACCTTTAGTGTGGACCTTTAGTGTGGACCCTTTACTGCGGACCCTTTACTGCGGACCCTTTACTGCGGACCCTTTACTGCGGACCCTTTAGTGTGGACCCTTTACTGTGGACCTTTTACTGTGGACCTTTACTGTGGACCTTTACTGTGGACCCTTTACTGTGGACCCTTTAGTGTGGACCCTTTACTGTGGACCCTTTACTGTCGACCCTTTACTGTCGACCCTTTACTGTCGACCCTTTACTGTCGACCCTTTACTGTGGACCTTTACTGTGGACCTTTAGTGTGGACCTTTACTGCGGACCCTTTACTGCGGACCCTTTACTGCGGACCCTTTACTGCGGACCCTTTAGTGTGGACCCTTTACTGTGGACCCTTTACTGTGGACCCTTTACTGTGGACCCTTTACTGTGGACCCTTTACTGTGGACCTTTACTGTGGACCCTTTACTGTGGACCTTTACTGTGGACCCTTTACTGTGGACCCTTTACTGTGGACCCTTTACTGTGGACCCTTTCCTGTGGACCCTTTACTGTGGACCTTTTACTGTGGACCTTTAGTGTGGACCCTTTACTGTGGACCCTTTACTGTGGACCTTTTACTGTGGACCCTTTACTGTGGACCCTTTACTGTGGACCCTTTAGTGTGGACCCTTAAACCTCTCAGGACTTTTTCAGCTTTTTTAAAACTCTGCTTCTTCAGACTCGATTTACTTTTTCTTTTTTAGTAAGTTTAATGCAAATTTAATTCCTTTGGGTTTGTTCGCACTAAAGGGCACAACACTGATGTCCCAGAGAAAGAAGGCTTGATAAAGAAGTTTTTTGGAAAAATAAAACTTCCAAAACTTACAAACTCCCAATCCGATGCATTGATTAAACCAATCTCCAGAAAAGAAATTGATGAAGTAATAAAAAACTTAAAATCTAATAAATCCCCTGGCGTCGATGGGTACCCTGGGGAGTTTTACAAGTGTCTTAGGGGTGAACTTGTCCCAATATTGCAGCGAGTGTTTAACTATGCATTGATGTCAAACGACCCACCAAAATCTTGGGCCCAAGCAACAATTTCAGTGATTCACAAAGAAGGGAAAGACCCTACAAACTGCTCTTCGTACAGACCGATTATTTGCAGTGATTTAATTACACCTTATTATGCAGTGATTTAAAAATATTGTCTTCCATATTAGCCAAAAGAATCCAAATGCATATAAATTCTCTGATAGGAACAGACCAAACTGGATTCATTCCAGGTCGATTGGGAACAAATAACATACGAAGGACTCTGAATATTATGACATTTGCCAAATTAAGTCGTGAACCCTCAATGCTTCTCAGCCTAGATGCAGAGAAAGCATTTGATAGGGTCGATTGGATGTATTTAGAACACTCGCTGGAAAAAATGGGTTTTCATTCTAATTTTGTTAAGTGGATTAAAGTGTTGTACCTGAATCCTACTTCAAAAGTGAGAGTAAACGGATGTACCTCAGTAGAATTTGAACTAGAACGTGGGACTAGAAAGGGCTGCCCACTGAGCCCCCTGCTGTTTGCTCTGAGTATAGAACCCTTAGCAGAAATAGTTAGAGAAAATCATAAAATACGAGGAGTAACTGTAGGGGGAAATGAATATAAATTGTCACTGTACGCAGATGACATCATTATGTATATCACCCAACCACTGATAACTGGCCCTGAACTTTTAAACTGTCTGAAAGAATTCGGGCAAATATCTGGGTACAAAATAAATGAGTCAAAATCACAGGCTATGATGATGGTGGGCGAAAAACCCAAAGAGTTAGATAAAATAGTAACATTTAATTGGCCTACAAAAGGTTTTAAATATCTGGGAGTTATGATCACTCCGAATTTCTTTCAATTGTACAATGAGAATTATGGTAATTTACTTTCAAAAATTAAGTCAGATCTGGAAAGATGGGATATTCTACCACTATCTCTCTTCGGCAGGATTGAATCTGTAAAAATGAACATTTTACCACGTCTTTTGTATTTATTTCAGGCCCTCCCTGTGTGGATACCCGCATCCATATTTAAATCCATAGATAAAATGATTTTTAAATTTGTATGGAAAGGAAAAAAGCCCAGAATTCGCAAAAAACTCTTGACTAGTCTAAAATCTAAAGGAGGTTTAGGACTGCCAAATTTTAAGTTCTACTATTGGGCTGCACAAATGCGAGGTTTGGTGGATTGGGTTGATCAAGCTGCAGAAAATAACTGGATTGAATTAGAAAATTATGCGTCCCAACCAGTTCCACTGGAAACGGCCCCTTTTTTGGAACTAAAAAAGTGGAGATTTTTCCAAATTAAAAATCAATGGATTCAGTGTACATATCGTGTCTGGCGCACCGTGAGGAAGAAATTGAATTTACCTCTCGCAAATTCACGGGTGTCACGGATTGCAAAACTTATTGACTTTGAACCAAATAAAATGGATGCAGGTTTCGCAAGCTGGGTACAAAAAGGTTTAGTAATTTTACACCAATTATTTGACAAAGATATTTTGAAATCATTTCAACAATTACAAGATAAGTTTGGTTTGGCATCTAGGGAATTTTATCGTTATTTACAATTAAGAAATTATATACAAACAGAACATCGATATGAGGAATTAAAAAGGTTGCCATCTCCGATAGAACTATATCTAATTAAGATTATAGAAGAAAAATGTAAAACTAAACTTGTGTCCAAATTGTATTGTCTGTTGCAATCAGATTAGTCAGATAACTCATTTGATATAAAAGGAAAATGGGAGCTAGAAGCAAATATAATTATTGCAGATGAAGATTGGATTCAGGCTTGTGAGAATGTACATAAAATAACTAAAAGTCCGGTCTGGAAGGAATTTGGTTGGAAGGTCATGATGCGCTTTTTTAGAACCCCCTCGGTGACATCCAACTTCAGTGGCACTAGCTCGAATCTATGTTGGAGGAATTGTAATCTCATTGGAGATCATACGCATACGTTTTGGGACTGCCCTTCCCTGAATATATATTGGAACGGTATTCTATCGGAGATTGGAACTATAGTTGGGAGAAAAATGTTTAAAGATGCCACACATGGTTTCCTGGCAACATTTAAGGGGCATGGACTAGGAAAGTACAAGACTAGACTTATCCAGATCCTTTTACTGGTTGCAAGGAAAACAATAACAAAGTCCTGGTTAAAGGCTCCACCTCCAACTATTATTCAGTGGCAAGAAAACCTGAAAAGAGTATATATAATGGAGAAAATAACAGCCCAATTACATCTTACTTTGGATAAGTTTAACAACATGTGGGCTCCTGTAGTAAAACATTTTAGATGGTCAAGCAACTGACAGTAGAAGGATGTGGATATACCGCTTGGACTATTTTTTTTTATTTTTTTAACTTGCATAGAGATCCTCTTCTGGGATTCAATGTGTAAACTATTTCATTATTTTATCTTATTTATTTATTTTTCATATAACACTTCATACTGAAAGCATATATTTTTTATACTGTAAAAATGTGAATTTGCTGAGATGCCAACTGTTCTGTACGTTGTTATTTATGTACATTGTAAGTTGAACAATTTGAAATAAAATATGTTCAAAAAATAAAGGGCACAACAGTCTGACAAAAGGCCAAATATCTGATTTTAATTATCAGAAATAATATTATGTTTTTCATGGTTCCACCTCCTCTGTTCATTAGAAGTTGCTAGAACAAAACTGTTTTATAAATTAGACAAGTTTCCTAAAGCAGCGGTTTGTTTGATGTAACGTTGATGATTTGACGGAATGAGCAGAAGTTTGTTACGTATTTTCAGATCCACATTTGATTCAGAGATTCTATCGTTTTAGTAGAAAAGAATAAAGTGATACTTTCATATTGTCAACTAATTAAAAGTAAAAACAGACCAGATTTTTTTTCTCAAGTTTAATTGTTAGAGAAAAATGGACTGAAACCATCACGTCCCTTACACATTTTTCAAGGGTCATTTTTTTTTTTAAACGATTAACTTATGTTGTGTTAATGTTAATCTTGTGGGACTTCAGCTGCTTTTTTCAGACTGAGGACTGATCTGGTTGTTTAAAGTGTCGCCAAAAATGTATTTATCAATATTTCCTTTTGATTTCCTCCACACTATCTCTTTGTTGTGTCTGTCTGTCTGTTAGAAATCTTTTTTTCCAATCTATGACAGTCATTTTAGTTTTTGAGTTATAACCTTTTAAAGTCCAGATACTTTACTGTGAACACACTCACTTAACTTTATACACCATTCTTGCAGTCCTTGCTTCTCATTTCATGCAGCTCTAACAGAAAGTTTTGGTCTGCGACTTGACCCGGTTCTGTTTCTGCAGGGTTTCTCTCAAGTCCAACCCATGGGACCCTCCCAACTTCGCAAAGACATCGCAACAGTACGTCGACAAAAAACAAATACTGCGACAAAAGCAGGTCTGAAGCTTGTTTGTGTCTGCAGGAGGCCCTACAGGAGGAGAGACTCAGCGGAGCGGCCCCCTCTCCCGTAAGACATCACTGAGGAGAGAAACCCTACTGTGGTTTAGGACTGGGGTGATGTGTTCTAAAATAACCTGCCATTAGTGAAATCTGTGAAGCAGCAGTTTGTTTTAAGGCTGTCACACTTTAGACACTTTTATAACCACCTGAACTCACGACGACTGAGGTGAGAGAGACCAGAGAGAGCAGAGAGAGAGACCAGAGAGAGACAAGAGAGAGACCAGAGAGAGAGACCAGAGAGAGATTAGAGAGCGAGACCAGAGACGGACCAGTGAGACCAGAGAGGGAGACCAGAGAGAGACCAGAGAGAGACCAGAGAGAGACCAGAGAGACCAGAGAGAGACCAGAGAGAGACCAGAGAGACCAGAGAGAGACTAGAGAGGGACCAGAGAGAGAGCAGCCAGAGAGAGACCAGAGAGAGAGTGAGACCAGAGAGACCAGAGAGAGACTAGAGAGAGACTAGAGAGAGACTAGAGAGAGACCAGAGGGAGACCAGAGAAAGAGTCCAGAGAGAGAGACTAGAGAGAGACCAGGGAGAGACCTTTGACTTTAGATAAAGGTAAATAAATTGCACACACATAAAACCAGTGAAAGAGACCACTGTTTCTGACTTTTTATGGACTCAAGTCATAATTAAATGAACTATGATTTTTGGTCTCAGGCAAAAGAGAAGCTCCAGAGACGAGGACGGCTCTTCTACGGTACGTGTTGGATTGTGAAAGTCATGGCTTCTAGTCCAGAGAGTTTTCTAATCTGTGTTGGAGAGTCGACAACTCTGTAAACGCCTCCGGGACTGAAGGGATTTAGAGCTTCACTAAAATGTATTTGAAACAACATTCAGACGACAGCTCTGGGTTTCGCTGAAAGAAACAGATTTGACATGATTTCTTTGGAATGTGGGACTTTTAAAGCTTCACATAAACTAAATAAGAGGAAATGAAGGATTAAAATGTGAACTGTGGTGCCGTTAGTTGGAATGTGGACCGGATCTACGGGTTCATGTGGTTCAGAGCGAGGCACGTAAACAACAGCGTGTGGGAATTACACGTCTGCGTCACTTTTATCACAGCTACAGAAGAAATAATCAGTTTGAGAGAAAGGTGCAGCTCTGAACCTTCAGTTGTTATCATCAATATCTGGTTTTCCTGCAGTTTTCTGGACTGAGTCTGGACAGCGACGACCAGGAAGGACCAGATGAGAGGTGACATCACTCTCTCTACTGTGTTTTACTCTAGAAAATGTGAACTAGTGTTTGCAAATAACAGCTGTGTGTCTGCAGGAGGCCCTTCAGGGGGAAAGAGACCAGAGAGAAGCCCCCTCTGCCGTAAGACAACACTGAGAAGAGAGAGACCAGAGAGAGAGCAGAGAGAGACCAAAGAGAGAACAGAGAGAGACCAGAGAGAGACCAAAGAGAGAGACCAGAGAGACACCAAAGAGAGACTAGAGAGCGAGACCAGAGAGAGCCCAGAGAGAGAGACCAGAGAGAGACCAGAGAGAGACTAGAGAGAGACCAGAGAGACAAGAGAGAGACCAGAGAGACAAGAGAGAGACCAGAGAGAGACCAGAGAGAGACCAGAGAGAGAGACCAGAGAGAGACCAGAGAGAGAGACCAGAGAGACAAGAGAGAGACCAGAGAGAGAGACCAGAAAGAGACCAGAGACAGATCAGAGAGAATACCCTGCCCAAATAAATGTGTCTCTTTCACAGATGGTGTAGAAGAAGAAGGTCCAAGAATACACCTGTTGAGCATTTTTCTGACGGAAAAGAGTAAGTTTGTATAAAATGAATATGAACAAAACCAAGTATAGACCAGCAGTGGTAAACCTTATTGTTTATATAAATCAAACAAGCTCAAATAAATGTTATCTTTTCACATTACTTTGACCAATCAGGTGATATTAGATCATTTCCGAGCGCACACCAACGAGCCACGGCCCACAGGTTGAAAAACACTGATTAAAGTTATTCCTGAATTACTACTATTTTTTGTATTTTATTTTTTGGTGGAAGACCCAGGACACAGAGGGACTATGTCTCTGTGTCCTGGGAACGCCTTGGGGTCCCCCTGGACGAGCTGGAGGAAGTGTGTGAGAGAGAAGTCTGGGCGTCTCTGCTTAGACTGCTGCCCCCGCGACCCGGCAACGGATGAAGCGGAAGAAAATGGATGGATGGATTATTTGTTTTTTAGGGGTGGGATCTTGTCTAGTTGTACTTTTTTCCATGTGTACCTTTTGTAAAATATAAAACTTGATAAATATATTAAACACTGAATTGATTCCTGAATTAAATGTATTTTTTCTGATTTTCCAACAGAGCGGAGCCGCAGACCTTCGATGATGACCTGGACTTGGTTTTTAAGGTTTGCTCATATTTATGCTTTCAACAAACACTCAGTACTTCCTGGACCACTGGACTATCGCATCCACCTGTGAATAAAACCACATCAGCGACTGTATGTTTAGCTCGGGAGTATAAGTCACACCAGCCGAAAACTTTGAGACTTACAGGCCTCACTTGTAGTAGTTTGAACATTAAGCTAGCTGGAATCTCCTTCAAAACCTTCAAACCAGGTCAGAAATCTAGGGTAATACTGGACTCAGACTTAAATTTTAATAGCCACATCAAATCAGTAACATCAGCAGCTTTTTACCATCTAAAAAACATTGCCAGGATCAAAAACATAGTGTCTAAAGCAGACCTGGAGATTCTTATCCATGCATTTGTCTCCAGTAGGTTAGACTACTGCAATGGCCTGCTCACAGGTCTGTCCAAACAGGCTGTAAAACAGCTGCAGTACATTCAAAATGCAGCAGCTCGAGTCCTGACTAGAACCAGGAAGTACGACCACATTAGTCCTGACTAGAACCAGGAAGTACGACCATATTAGTCCTGACTAGAACCAGGAAGTACGACCATATTAGTCCTGACTAGAACCAGGAAGTACGACCACATTAGTCCAGACTAGAATCAGGAAGTACGACCACATTAGTCCAGTCCTCAGGTCTCTGCACTGGCTTCCTGTGGCTCAGAGAATAGACTTTAAAACAGCTCTGCTTGTGTACAAGTCTCTCCATGGCCTCGCACCAAAATATATTAGTGACATGTTAGTCCCATATGAACCAGCCCGGACTCTGAGGAGCACAGGGACTGGACTCCTGCTGGGACTCTGAGGAGCACAGGGACTGGACTCCTGTTAGTGCCCAGAGTCAGAACTAAACATGGGGAGGCTGCTTTTCAGATTCATGCTGCTAAAATCTGAAACAGTCTTCCTGAAGATGTGAGACAGGCCTCCTCAATGAGAATGTTTAAAACCAGGTTAAAGACGGTTCTGTTCAGCTGTGCTACAACTGAGTACAATTTTATACTTTCTTTTTAATGTTCTGTGATTATTTAATGCTTTCTTGTTTTGTTCAGCACTTTGAGTTGCCTTGTGTATGAATTGTGCTATACAAATAAACTTGCCTAGAATTTACTTTTCAATGTAGGTCAAGTCAGTAGCAGTAGATTTGTTTGTGTAACACTCACAGACACGTGTTAATACTGGTTCTGTGAGGTCTAGATCGCTCTAGATCAAGCTAAACCGGCTCTGGTCTTCACGGTTGGACTCTGTGTGTGGAATGTTCTGCTGCAGGAGGTGGAGGAGAGGATCGTGGGCTGCGTCCACACGGAGCTGAGGCGGCAGCGCAGGGTCCTGGCCGCAGATTACCCAGAATGCTCAGCGGAGGAGCGGCGGGTGGAGCGTGAAGCCGTGCTCTCGCTCAGTCTCCACTTCCTCCGCCACATGGAGCGAGAGGATGTGGCTCTGCAGCTTCAGACCAGTACCATCTCCGCTCATTCCAAAGGTTCCATATCGTGCAGAAACAGAACTCCTTCAAGACGAAACATGATGCCATATTTTTGGTCTTATAAAAATGAGAACGAGACGATTTACTTTGTCGTTCCATGTCTTCGGGCCAAATTTACTCGCCAAATTGTTTTAAAACTACCCTAAATTATCCTTTTTCTTGCTGAATTTGAAGGATCTTTAAAAAACTTGACCAGTCTTGAGTTGTTTAAACCCTAACTTAGGTATTTTTCTACTACTTTTAATGACTGTGGCGGTTGTTTTTAGCACATATGAAACAAAGAAAAGTTCAAATGATTTCTGTCCGTCACTGTCTGAATTTGTTTTCAAAAGTAAAAAATTACCGGCTGCAAACACAGACAGTGAGAGTAAAGAATATTTTACATGTGAAATATTTTACGGGCTAAACTTTCTCGCGTGTCTGCAACAAGTCAATATGAGATAAGCATCAGGAAGTTGTCTTAAGAACAGGGCGAGGTCGAAACGTCAGGGAACCAAGTCACGCACATACACACACACATGCACACGCACACACACACACACACACACACATACACACACACACACACACACAGGGCCCTTTTGCTGAGAAGTGAGAGTGCTATCTACTCAGCCGCCGTGCCAATATTTTATATAGTTTGGCTTTAATTATGTATTTTTTTTGCGGTAAAACCAAGTGATAGAAAAGTTGATATTAAGATTGAAAGTAGCTGATACATTACCGTGACGCGAACTCAAGAACTCAGGAACCATTGGCTTCAGTCCCAGTTTCAATGGGAGTGGAATGTCTGACTAAAGCAGGATTGCATCGGTCCTGTGACAGGGAATTTACACAGTAGGCGTAAACAGCGCGTACGCGTTTACTGCGCGCTCTCTGCGCGTAACATTATTTTGGAGTATCTACACAGGCCGTGTGCGCAGGTCCTTCTGATGCTCTCCCTGTGTGTGTCTATGGAGCAGTGTAGAGGACAGTACGGGCCAGAGGACTGATGTAGAGCAACACAGATCACATGCATGTGTTTGTCTTCATGGTCTCTGTTGCTGGTTTGACCAGACGCGAGACTTTATGAAAGAAAAAAAAACGATGTCCAGAATCACTTTAAAACCTGCTGCTCCTCCTGCTGATGTTTATACACAAGTGCTTTGTGTGTGTAAATGTGATCTAAAGCCAAGGACCGCTAGAAAAATCATGTTTTACATGAGATTTCAATGGGAGACGCGTTGGTGCGCGCACAAAATTAGAAATCCATCCTAAATTAGAGCGCAGCTTCGCGTCATACGTCCGTCATACGCGCGTATAACGCTAGAAGTGTAAATATCATCATAGGTTAACATGGAAAAAAGTTACGCGCGTCTGCTGCGCGTATAACGCGTACGTGCTGTAACGCGTGATGTGTAAATTAGCAGTGATAGTAATAATGTACCACTACACACTGGCTCAGCAAGAAGGGCCTGGGTTCGAATCCCGGTCGGAACAGGGTCTTTCTGAGTGGAGTTTGTATGATCTCCCTGTGCGTGCGTAGGTTTCCTCCGGGTGCTTCGGGTTTCCCCTACCACTGAAAACTTATACAATAGTTCTGGCATGTGCCTCCTGTGCTGGCCCCGCTCCCATCTCTGTGTGGAGGGAGAGACTAATGCCCAAGAATAACAATTGTGACTCTGTGACTCTGGTCTGAGAAAGGCCCTATATAAATAAAAAATACATATTTACTTATTATTATTATTATGTGTTTTTTTGATTGGGACAGAACAAAAAGCATTGTTACAGGAACCGATGCCATGTTCATAGGCTGTATAGCAGCTTGTTAACAGACCTAATCCATAAGACATAGAAATACATCACATCTATATTATACATTTATCATGATATTAAAAAAATAAATAAATAAGAAATACTAAATAACAAAATAACCCACAGATTAAATAGTACAGAACATTTTCAATTGATGATTCAAGTCTTGCAATGTGTTCACAAGTTGAGCCATTGAGCCACACTTACACTATGACCACAATTACTCAAGTGAAAAGCCATTCTTTACAAACATACCTCTGTGTTTGCAGCCAGTAGCTTTCAAATTGTAGAAAAAAGCCAAACAAACCATCTCCCTCTGGTGGCAGCAAAGGGAGTTACAGGCGATACGTATTATTTACCTTTCATACATATTTCACTGTATATTTTCTACTATAGATATTATTTCACGTCCCAAAACACAAAACGACAAAGTGAATATTCTTGTTTTCATTTCAATGGACAAGAATAATGCATGATACGTCTTCTTTAAATATCTAGCGTTGAGCCGTTTGGTCGTGTGTCGCAGATAGATCTTTGAAGAGAACTCAGTATAATATGGAACCTACAGCATAAACAATATTCCCATGATTCCTCTGCTCTCACTGATCTTTAGATTCACTTCTTTCAGAGAAACAGTGGACGGACTTTCAGGGGACACTGAAGTCGAAGCTGCGGCAGAGGTTCCTGTCTGTGTTCGAGGGCGTGGCCAAAGCAGGAAGTCCCGCCCTCCTGAACGAGATCTACACAGAGCTCCACATTACAGAGGGAGGGGCCACAGACGTCAATCAGGAACATGAGGTATGTTTAGGTTAGAGTTTAGAAAGAATTTTATAGGAGAAGACGTGGAGGTTTGTGAGTATGAGACAGACGACAAGAGACAGTCAGAAAGTCAAAAAAGTGTAGCCTAGAAAACATGAATTAAGAAATATAGAGGGATTATTATTATTAAATATTCCGTCGTTTGGGGAGCTATTGGAAAGGCGTGGCGAGCTACAGGTGATAGACCACGGAGCTAAAGTGAGCACAATAGATGTAAATCAGGATTGGACAAATACATTAAATAAAAATAACAATAATATATTCTGACAGAGTGTGACATCCCCACAGTGTTCAGGGAAGAGGCTGATTTGAACATAAGCTAAATGGAGCTACTTTCCTTATATGGGCTATTCTTCTACAGTAGTAGCAGTAGTAGTAGTATTAATAGGAGCAGTAGCAGTAGTAGTAGTAGCAGCAGCAGTAGCAGTAGCAGTAGTAGTAATTTATTTGAGCTGTTTTGCAGTATTTTTTTTACAAGTCCATATAATTTAAAGAAACAAAGCTCAAAGGAGAAGGTAAAACACAAAGCGTGTCTGTGACTTCATCCTCATCATCATCACTACATTTCAGCGACTTCAAAAAGATTCAGATTTTCTCGTGACATTCCTGATTTTTACCATCATCATCAAACAAAAACAGCAACAGTTATCATTCATGTTCCATATTTACACATACGAACAGCAGGATCATGGAGAGCTCCAGACCAGAGTTATAAATCCCAAAACGCTGAGTGTGACACAGTTACTGAGTTAGAGGAGTTTACCTTTACATTGAAGTCGATAAGAGTCAGAGAGAGTTGGAGCTCGCGTTTATTCCAGAAGCAAAACTGCAAAAAAATCCCCGAAACAGCGAGATCACAAAGGAGAAGCGTGCTGTAGCGAGAGACCAGTGCATCATAACTGTAATCCTTGTTTGATCCCACAGGTCAGACAGATGGAAACCTCCTCCAGAAAACAGAGCAGCTCAGAGACCATCATCAGGTGTGAGGACATCTTTAAAGTCCGGGACCCCAGACCACAGAACCTCCTCAGAGCCGAGACCGCGGAGGAACTTCCACCGATCAGAACTGTCCTCACAAAGGGCGTGGCTGGCATCGGCAAAACGGTCCTGACCCAGAAGTTCAGCCTGGACTGGGCCGAGGGCAGAGCGAACCAGGACGTCCAGCTGCTGCTCCCCTTCACCTTCAGAGCCCTGAATGTTCTCAGAGACCAGCGCTTCAGTCTGGAGACGCTGATTCAGCACTTCTTTGGGGAAGACGTGGAGAGAGCATTCTGTATCTCTGAAAACCTGCAGGTGAGTCGTGAACTGTCTGTCCATCAAGACACGGGTCCAGTAGTGACGGGAACTCAATAGTACTGCGACATTTGGGCCACAACCCAATACTATTGAATTATTATTGTTACATACTAGATAGATAGATACTTTATTGATCCCCGGAGGATCAATTGCCACTCTGTCACTTCCTCCCCTTCTGTGCACAACCTCAACGTTTTACTGGCCACGCCTTCATCACCTCCAGACTCGATTACTGCAACAGCCTCCTCTACGGTCTCCCTTCCACTCATCTCCAAAACCTGCAATACATCCAGAACTCTGCTGCCCGCCTGCTCACCCACACCCGCTCCAGAGACCACATCACCCCTGTCCTCAAACAACTCCACTGGCTCCTGTTCCATACCGCTTACAATACAAGTCCCTCCATAACCTGCCCCTTCATACCCCACTGAGCTCCTCCATCATCACTGTCCCTCCCGCCGCCTCAGACCCACTGACTCCAACCTCCTCACTCCCCTCGGAACAAAGTGCCGAACCTTGGGGGCCTTTGCTGCAGCTGCCCCCACTCTCTGGAACTCACTTCCACCTCACATCAGGAACTCAGACTCACTACAGAACTTCAAATCACTTCTCAAAACTCACCTGTTCAAAACTGTCTACACTTATTTGTTGCTTATTTTTCTTCTGTAAAGAGTCTTTGAGTGTCCAAAAAGCGCTATTTAGGTACAATGTATTATTATTATTATTATTATTAATTTCAGGTGTCCAATAGCAGCAAATGATCATTCTAAAAAGCTAACAGTAGTAATAATACAGTACATATCCCATTACATACTACACACATTGCAATTTGATTCTGTGATATGTAGTGATTCATGTCCCTCATTTCATTCAAAGGAATATCGAAAATGGAGAAAAATAAGACTGCTCAACTAAAATGTCTGATTTGAACATGTGCTAGCTGGAGCCAATCTCCTCACATGAGCATTTGTTCTAGGTGTGGCTAGGGCAAGCTGGAGATTCCCCTGAAAATGAAGGCATCTGATTGTAACTCCAGATATGAGCCTTATTAGGATCGACCAAACACAATATCACAATATAAACATCAGGATCATGGAGAGAGATATAACACAGATTTAACCCCATAATGGTGAGATTAATACTAACGAATACTGAGCAAGAGGAGTCGATAAGAGCCAGAGCGAGTTGGAGCAAAACTTTGTCCATGAGCACTTCCCTATTGAGCCTGAGCTTTGACTGAGACAATCATCTTGTAGTGAGGAAGACAAAATTGTTTTCTAGTGAGATAAATACAGCATGTTGTGGTCTAGTTTGTTCGCAAAATGTTACTACTAATATTTTTGGACAAATATTAAAGTATTTTCCCAATTTTTTTTTCCATTTGGATTTTTAAGTTGTGGCTGCAGGAGGGTCTAAGGACTGTGATGGACCAATGGCTCCATGTGTTTGGCCTGTGTCCCCCGTCCTTAACTAAAAAAAAACAAAATCCTTGTGGCTTGGAAGCAGCTCTTGTCTGTAGTGAAGCTGCAGTGACTTGAGTTTAACGTTTCTCTCCCGTGAACAGAACAGTGCAGTGGTTCTGGTCCTGGACGGTCTGGATGAGTGCAGACTGACCCTGGACTTCAGCAGAGCTCCAGACCTCAGTGACGTGAGTGTCTCTGCATCAGTCGACGTGCTGCTGGTGAACCTCATCAGAGGAACACTGCTGCCCTCTGCCGGCCTCTGGATCACCACACGACCTGCAGCGGCCAATCAGATCCCAGCTCACTGCGTCTCCATGGTGACAGAGGTCAGTCGCACCAATGGACCAACATAACATACTTCAGTTATTGTTTATGTACCCAACAATATTGAACAGTAATCCACTCTACAGCCTACAAGAACGTTTACCTATTTTCTTGCATTTCAGAGTTTCAAATATTATTGATAAATATGTATAATCACAGATTTTAGGGTCGGACAGAACTAACCTGCTAGCTAGCGGAAGGGTAGTCCTGGGTTTGGGACTAGATTATTTACAGAATCGGGCCAAATTAAATCCAGTGGTTATATTACAGACCTGCCCCCCCCCCAGCAGATCAGGTCCGACTTTCTCTTCAAAAACTCCACAAGGGGAAGGCGCGAGTGTACCAGCAACTGTGGTTACGTAGGTCCAGCGCAACCGCAACCAGCGCCGCGCCAGTGTGCACAGGCCTTTAGTCTGTTGAGTAGAATGGTTAAGGTTAGGGTTAAGAGTGGGTTGGATGTTAGTCTGTTGAGTAGAATGGTTAAGGTTAGGGTTAAGGGTGGGTTGGATGTTAGTCTGTTGAGTAGAATGGTTAAGGTTAGGGTTAAGCGTGGGTTGGATGTTAGTCTGTTGAGTAGAATGGTTGTTAGGGTTAAGGGTGGGTTGGATGTTAGTCTGTTGAGTAGAATGGTTAAGGTTAGGGTTAAGGGTGGGTTGGATGTTAGTCTGTTGAGTAGAATGGTTAAGGTTAGGGTTAAGGGTGGGTTGGATGTTAGTCTGTTGAGTAGAATGGTTAAGGTTAGGGTTAAGAGTGGGTTGGATGTTAGTCTGTTGAGTAGAATGGTTAAGGTTAGGGTTAAGGGTGGGTTGGATGTTAGTCTGTTGAGTAGAATGGTTAAGGTTAGGGTTAAGAGTGGGTTGGATGTTAGTCTGTTGAGTAGAATGGTTAAGGTTAGGGTTAAGAGTGGGTTGGATGTTAGTCTGTTGAGTAGAATGGTTAAGGTTAGGGTTAAGAGTGGGTTGGATGTTAGTCTGTTGAGTAGAATGGTTAAGGTTAGGGTTAAGAGTGGGTTGGGGTTAGTCTGTTGAGTAGAATGGTTAAGGTTAGGGTTAAGAGTGGGTTGGGGTTAGTCTGTTGAGTAGAATGGTTAAGGTTAGGGTTAAGAGTGGGTTGGAGTTAGTCTGTTGAGTAGAATGGTTAAGGTTAGGGTTAAGAGTGGGTTAGGGTTAGTCTGTTGAGTAGAATGGTTACGGTTAAGGTTAAGAGTGGGTTGGAGTTAGTCTGTTGAGTAGAATGGTTAAGGTTAGGGTTAAGGGTGGGTTGGATGTTAGTCTGTTGAGTAGAATGGTTAAGGTTAAGGTTAAGGGTGGGTTGGGGTTAGTCTGTTGAGTAGAATGGTTAAGGCTAGGGTTAAGGGTGGGTTGGGGTTAGTCTGTTGAGTAGAATGATTAAGGTTAGGGTTAAGGGTGGGTTGGATGTTAGTCTGTCGAGTAGAATGGTTAAGGTTAAGGTTAAGGGTGGGTTGGATGTTAGTCTGTTGAGTAGAATGGTTAAGGTTAGGGTTAAGAGTGGGTTGGGGTTAGTCTGTTGAGTAGAATGGTTAAGGTTAGGGTTAAGGGTGGGTTGGATGTTAGTCTGTTGAGTAGAATGGTTAAGGTTAAGGGTTAAGAGTGGGTTGGGGTTAGTCTGTTGCGTAGAATGGTTAAGGTTAAGAGTGGGTTGGGGTTAGTCTGTTGAGTAGAATGGTTAAGGTTAAGAGTGGGTTGGGGTTAGTCTGTTGAGTAGAATGGTTAAGGTTAAGGTTAAGAGTGGGTTAGGGTTAGGTAGTTGGTTATATTTACTTCTGCTTCCGTCCCGATTCCGTGTATGATCTAGTGCCGACCGCAGTCCTGGTTGCCTCTTTGGTCACTAGGAGATAATTTAGCTCTGAATTTGCACCTTTCAGAGAAGCCCTGGTCTGCTTTTTGTGCTCTTTGCTTTGAGGTTGAGGTCTGTGGTGGTTGTCGTGAGGTTTGAGATTCAATGCTGAGTGGAATCCACAGGTGCGCGGGTTCACAGACGAGCAGAAGGAGCTGTACTTCACCAAGAGGTTTGGAGACGAGGCCGGTACCGTGATCAGCCACCTCCGAACCTGCCGCAGCCTCCACATCATGTGCCATATGCCCATGTTCTGCTGGATCACAGCCACAGGTGCGCAGAAGGTCATTTACAAAAGACATCCTCACATGGAACAAAATTAATCTGTTCAAACGGTGTCATAAGATAATAACCAATAGCATCAGACTGGACTTCTGGCTGTAGCTGTTGAATGGAACAAAGGCTAAATAAAAGCAGAAAACGTCCGTCAAAAGAGGGTCCTATTTGTTTACAAGAGGGTCGTAGATATAGATAGATTGATAAATACTTTATTGATCCCCGTAGTAGCAGCAAAAACACATCCAAACAAAGACACAACAACAAAAACACAAATCAAACAAAGAGAAACACAAATCAAACAAAGAGAACCAATAAATGTATCATTCTAAAAATCTAACAATAGTAATAACAATAACAGTCCTTCAGGTCACAGCAGCACAGGTGGAGCTTGGTTCAGACCATTGTCTCTGCTCTGGTCTGGACCAGTGTGAAACCATGAATCCTCTCTGCTCTGGTCTGGACCAGTGTGAAACCATGAACACTGTACTGCAGCAACATCTCAGGCAGAAAAAAGCAGGAAAAAAAACAATTGTAAAGCACAAAACAACAACCCAAACAAAACCAATAATCAAGATTTTCATGTGTCTTTTTAAAAAAAATCATTTTTGGGGACGTTTCTGGCCCGAGTTGGTCTGTTATAGGGACATGAAAATCAAGAACTCCATCCATCCATTTTCTTCCGCTTCATCCGTTGCCGGGTCGCGGGGGCAGTCTAAGCAGAGACGCCCAGACTTCCCTATCCACACACACCTCCTCCAGCTCGTCCGGGGGGACTCCAAGGCGTTCCCAGGCCAGCTAAGAGACATAGTCCCTCCAGCGTGTCCTGGGTCTTCCCCGGGGCCTCCTCCCGGTGGGACATGCCCGGAACACCTCCCCAGGGAGGCGTCCAGGAGGCATCCGGAACAGATGCCCGAGCCACTTCAACTGGTTCCTCTCGACGTGGAGTAGCAGCGGTTCTACTCCGAGCTCCTCCCGTGTGACTGAGCTTCTCAGCCTATCTCTAAGGGAGCGCCCAGCCACTCTGCGGAGGAAGCTCATTTCGACCGCTTGTATCCGCGATCTCGTTCTTTCGGTCATTACCCAAAGCTCATGACCATAGGTGAGGGAGGGAGCGAAGATTGACCGGTAAATTGAGAGCTTTGCCTTTCGGCTCAGCTCCCACTTCACCACAACGGTCCGATACAGCTCTGACTGCAGACGCTGCTCCCTCTTTACCACAACGGTCCGATACAGCGGCCGCATCACTGCGCACGCTGCACCGATCCGCCTGTCAATCTCACGCTCCATCCTTCCCTCACTCGTGAACAAGACCCCGAGATACTTGAACTCCTCCACTTGAGGAAGGACCTCTCCACCCACCCGGAGAGGGCAAGGCACCTTTGTCCGGTCGAGCACCAAGAACTAGTAAAGAACTAGTAAAGGAAATGAAATACTGTACACTATCGTCACATCAGAGTATGTTATGGACTCACTGGCTTCAGAGCCTATCCAGGAAACTACTTATTTTTTGTTATGTGTTTTTATGTATGTCTTTCTGGTATGGACTTTTTACTCTTGTGTCCAAAAAAAAAGTGAATTGAATTGAAAAAAATATATTTGATACATTAGATACAGAGTACATTTAATAATCTCTGTGTAAACGATAGTCATGTCCGGTCCTTCTCTCTCTCTCTCCCTGGTCTCTCTCTAGTCTTTCTGTGGTCTTTCTCTCTGGTCTCTCTCTGGTCCCTCTCTGGTCCCTCTCTGGTCCCTCTCTGGTCCCTCTCTGCTCTCTCTGGTCTCTCTCAGGTCCCTCTCTGGTCTCTCTCTGGTCTCTCTCTGGTCTCTCTCTGGTCTCTCTCTAGTCTCTCTCTGGTCTCTCTCTGGTCTCTCTCTGGTCTCTCTCTCTGCTCTCTCTCTCTGCTCTCTCTCTCTGGTCTCTCTCTCTGGTCTCTCTCTGGTCTCTCTCTGGTCCCACTCTGGTCTCTCTCTGGTCTCTCTCTGGTCTCTGCTCTCTCTCTGGTCTCTCTCTGCTCTCTCTCTGCTCTCTCTCTGCTCTCTCCCTCTGCTCTGCTCTCTCTCTCTGCTCTCTCTCTGCTCTCTCTCTGCTCTCTCTCTGCTCTCTCTCTGCTCTCTCTGGTCTCTCTCTGGTCTCTCTCTCTCTGCTCTCTCTGGTCTCTCTCTGGTCTCTCTCTCTCTGGTCTCTCTCTGGTCTCTCTCTGGTCTCTCTCTGGTCTCTCTCTGGTCTCTCTCTGGTCTCTCTCTGCTCTCTCTCTGCTCTCTCTCTGCTCTCTCTCTGCTCTCTCTCTGCTCTCTCTCTGCTCTCTCTCTGCTCTCTCTCTGGTCTCTCTCTGGTCTCTCTCTGGTCTCTCTCTGGTCTCTCTCTGGTCTCGCTCTGGTCTCTCTCTGGTCTCTCTCTGGTCTCTCTCTCTCTGGTCTCTCTCTCTCTGGTCTCTCTCTCTCTGGTCTCTCTCTCTGGTCTCTCTGGTCTCTCTCTCTGGTCTCTCTCTGGTCTCTCTCTGGTCTCTCTCTGGTCTCTCTCTCTCTGGTCTCTCTCTCTCTGGTCTCTCTCTCTCTGGTCTCTCTCTCTCTGGTCTCTCTCTCTCTGGTCTCTCTGGTCTCTCTCTGGTCTCTCTCTGGTCTCTCTCTGGTCTCTCTCTGGTCTCTCTCTGGTCTCTCTCTGGTCCCTCTCTCTGGTCCCTCTCTGGTCCCTCTCTGCTCTCTCTGCTCTCTCTCTGCTCTCTCTGTAGTTGAGCAGCCTATTGTAATGTTTACACCATCTCTTTGACGCCACAGTCCTGGAGCACGTCCTGAAGTCCAGTCCTGGGGAGGAGCTGCCGCAGACCCTGACTCAGCTCTACGTCCACTTCCTGGTGGTTCAGATCAAAGTCATGAGTGTGAAGTACGAGTGTGGCAGCGAGTCGGACCTGGTGTGGAGTCAGGAGAGGAAGAGGATGGTGGAGGGACTGGGGAGACTGGCCTTCGAGCAGCTGCAGAAGGGAAACCTCATTTTCTATGAGTCTGATCTGAAAGACAGCGACATCAACCCCACAGTGGCCTCGGTCTACTCTGGTCTGTTCACCCAGGTCTTCAGAGAGGAGCCAGGACTCTACCAGGTGGGCAACAACACTATCTACTCTTCCTCAGGTTCAATTTCATTCAAATTATTTTCACAGCAGAAGTGTTTTCTTTAGCAGAGAGGCAACTGTTTTCATTGGTCACAACATGATTTAATGACGAGGAGTTTGACAGATTCACCGTTAGCGTCCATCACTCATTCATCTTTCATCTGTTCAGACAATAAACCTGTAGCTACTAAAACACAATGGAGTCAGGATAATAAGTCGCTCTCTCTGGTCTTTCTCTGTGGTCTTTCTTTCTGGTCTCTCTCTGGTCTCTCTCTGGTCTCTCTCTCTGGTCTCTCTCTCTGGTCTCTCTCTCTGGTCTCTCTCTCTGGTCTCTCTCTCTGGTCTCTCTCTCTGGTCTCTCTCTCTGGTCTCACTCTGCTCTTACTATCTCTAGTCTCTCTCTGATCTCTCTCTCTGGTCTCTCTCTCTGGTCTCTCTCTCTGGTCTCTCTCTCTGGTCTCTCTCTCTGGTCTCACTCTCTGGTCTCACTCTGCTCTTACTATCTCTAGTCTCTCTCTGGTCTCTCTCTCTGATCTCTCTCTCTGGTCTCTCTCTCTCTCTCTGCTCTCTCTCTGCTCTCTCTCTCTGGTCTCTCTCTCTGGTCTCGCTCTCTGGTCTCGCTCTCTGGTCTCGCTCTCTGGTCTCGCTCTCTGGTCTCGCTCTCTGGTCTCGCTCTCTGGTCTCGCTCTCTGGTCTCGCTCTCTGGTCTCGCTCTCTGGTCTCGCTCTCTGGTCTCGCTCTCTGGTCTCGCTCTCTGGTCTCGCTCTCTGGTCTCGCTCTCTGGTCTCGCTCTCTGGTCTCTCTCTCTGATCTCTCTCTCTGATCTCTCTCTCTGATCTCTCTCTCTCTGATCTCTCTCTCTCTGATCTCTCTCTGATCTCTCTCTGGTCTCGCTCTCTGATCTCTCTCTCTCTGATCTCTCTCTCTGATCTCTCTCTCTGATCTCTCTCTCTGATCTCTCTCTCTCTGGTCTCGCTCTCTGATCTCTCTCTCTCTGATCTCTCTCTCTCTGGTCTCGCTCTCTGATCTCTCTCTCTCTGATCTCTCTCTCTCTGATGTCTCTCTCTCTGATCTCTCTCTCTCTGGTCTCTCTCGCTGATAGCCGCTACTAAAATTTGATGGAGTCTAAACACTAAGTTCATAAACTCCGCTCTGGCGCCTCAATAGAAACACATATTAGCTACATTACTACATATTCTTTGCTTGTCTCTCTCTTGATTCACTGTCACTGGTGTGTTTTCAGGACAGAGTGTACTGCTTCGTCCATCTGAGCGTGCAGGAGTTCATGGCAGCTCTGTACGTGCACCAGTCCTTCCTCTGCTTCGGCGCCAACCTTCTCCGTCCCAGATCGAACAGAGGAACCCTCCGCAGACTCACAGAAAAACCCAAACTCAAGCATCTGCACCAAGCCGCCGTCAACCAGGCCTTAGACAGTCCCAACGGACACCTCGACCTGTTCCTGCGCTTCCTGCTCGGCCTGTCGCTGCCGGCCAATCAGAAGCTTCTACACGGGCTGCTTCCTGGTCAGAGGTTTGTATCTTGTTGTTGTCAGATCCGTTATAGAGAGATGGGAGTTGGATTAGATAATTTTGAGATTCATCCAGCAAGTATAGAGTCCTCCAGGGGCACATGGTTGCATTTCTGACCAGTGTTCTCCTTGTTCCGCTTGTTAGTTTAGGCAGACGGCCGTGTCTTGGTAAGTTTGCAGTGGTGTCATACTATTTCCATTTCTGAATATTGGATTAAACATCTCACAGAGCACTGTGGTTTGCTCTGACTTCATGATGCTGTTTAGAGACCAATACATTACGACCATAACTCTCTCACTGCACAAAATTATAAAATATCAGGTAATAATTGCTTGAATCATGTGTCATTTATCTTAATCCGAGCGCGTTCAGTCTTAAAACAAGATTCTCCAATGGGACAAAGCCATTTAGTGTTATTTCAAGAACTGCTACTTCCAAGAACTTCCAAGGGAGACATTTCTTGTATCTTTTTAAAACGGCCCATCTGCAAATCTTGTTTGAGGGCTCAGTCAGAATGTGATCAAATTAAGATACATTATGCCAAATTTTACCAATTTTTGGGTTATTTTTCAGCATGTGTTGCAGCATGAGGTCCTCACAGAACAGCCGTAAATACAAAGAGCATTGATTACAGACAGATGAGCTCTATTTAACTGTAAGACGTGAGCATTCAGCAGAAAAGTTGGGCTTGCTCATGTATTCATACAGCTTTTATGGACACATGAGCAAGCCCAACCTTTTTATATTTTTATCACAAAATCATGTTATAATTGTTAATAAAATGCAGTTCTCCCAGTAACTCAAAGGACCTCCTGGTTTAAAATAAAAAATCATATTAAAAAAATATATTTTCTTTTCACTTCACGGTTGAATTAAGTTATACCAAGCCGTGAACAGCTCCTATCGGCGCGTGTTCCACCAGCTACTCCTTGCAGGACGGCACCGCAGTAATGTGAGAGAAACACTTCCTGTCCTACGACCCCAGGCCACGCCCCCTTCAGATTATGTGATTGCACAAGGTTAACCTCTACTATACTCAATTTATTCTTGTATTGCCCTAAATCACAACAGTAGTTATTATGTCAGAGGACTTTACAAAACCGTTGAATTCGCCAACACAGATCGGAGAATTAAGTTGAAACACAAGAAATAAAACAGAAAACACATTGGTATCAGGGCAGATGACCAATGTCCATAAACTATAGTGCATAAAAACGAGACATGATTTTGTAACGATGCTTGTTGTTGCAGTTCCACGTCCCACCTGCAGGACACAGCCAACTACATCAATAATAAGATCCAAGCGAGTGAGTGCGCAGAGCGGAGTCTGAACCTGTTCCACTGCCTGAACGAGCTGCACGAGCGCTCACTGCTGCAGCAGGTGCAGCAGGCGCTGAGCAGCGGAGGCCTGAGCCGCGGCAGAGGTCTGTCTGCGGCTCAGTGGGCCGCTCTGGTCTTCATCCTGCTCTCCTCAGAAGAACAAGAGCTGGAGGTGTTTGATCTGAAGAAATACTGCGGCACAGAAGCGGCGCTGCTGAGGCTGCTGCCGGTGGTGCAGGCCTCACGGAGAGCTCTGTGAGTGTTTCTGATCTAAGTATCCTGATAACAGATAGACTTAATGTTTAGGGTTCTGTGGGGTAGTGCTGAGAGCAAAGGTCATAAATGTCTTTGTAGCCGTGAAGATTTGAGAGAACAGAACAAAACCAACTATATGATGCCTCAAACCCAACATTTTGGGAATCAAAATCTGTGGTTTTAACGCTCTACATGACCCTTATGTTTTTATTTTGACCATATATTTGTAAATCCAGTTATGAGCCCTTAACTGACCAATCAAGTGCCCAAAAATGTTGCGAGCGGGAGACGGACACCAGCGCCACACCTGTTTTTCCACTTTGGTAAATAGGTCGTTGCTACCCACAAATTTGATTCCCTCTGTTTACTTTATTCTCCCTGTACGACAATTTCTCCTCTGCATTTGACCCGCCCTTCGTTTCCCACTTGGGCGTCTGTCAGGAGCAGTGGTCGCCATAGAAACAGGGACCATCTCCAGAAAATGTATGCTCTTGTTCAGGACCAGAAGACTTTGCTTTTGTACATGTTTTTACATCGACTTCTTCTGCAATAATGCAAACAGCACTCGTTTAGTCCACTCCACTCCTTCAGCCGACAGTACCGAGGTGAATTGGGTGAACGACTTTTGTTGATTGTGTGATGGATAATAAAGATAAGATAAACTTTATTGATCTCACATTGGAGAATCACTCAGATTGTGCAAAAGGCAGAAGTATGCCGCGCAACATGCTAAGGTTAAAAAATATAGTCTGTGCAGGATATAATTAAAGAAGGTCACATCATGATAAGTTTACGCCCAAAAAAAACATTGGAGTATTCATGTACTTTGTTCCTGCTGAAGGTAGTGGGTGTGGCTGGACAGGTAACGAGAAAAAAAAACAACAACAACTGATTTTTGAAACCTTTAGTAGTTCTCTTCTAATATAAAATGGTATTAAAACTGTATTTCTAAATAAATCAAACCCGGCATAAGGTCTTTAACCAGCAATCTGGGCTGAGGTTCCACATGAGTTCACACGCAGCAGAGAGACCGACAAGACTCAAAAAACGCCAACTTAACTGTGTTTGAACTAATTGATTCTCTGATCTGTTGTTGGCGAATCAACAACTTCGTAAAGTCCCCCCAAGACGACGACTGCTGCTGCGAGTTGATTTGCTGTGGCATTGAAACTGCCGCGGTGTCATTTATCAGCTGAGGTTACTTCCTGAGTGGGCGTGGTCAGTGTGATTGACAGGTCTCCTCTGGCCCGGTGGTCTCTGCAGGAGTGTGTCTCAAAGTGTGCGACAGGAGGAAGGGTCCGTCGTCCCGGTTGATGCTGTTATGGCTCCTCCCTGATTTCAGACACGGACAGAAAGACTAGAACCCTATAGAAGATATCTTTATATATGGTCTCCTGTGGCACAATGGTATAGTTTTCTGCTTTTGTATCTGGTGTGACTTAATCTGGATACTAAATTATATTGGATTTGATCTTGTTGTTAATTGTTCCCAACGATGATACGAATGATTCTGACTTCATGTAATAAACCTTGTTCCTGCTTTCTTTCTACTACGTCTTCAACCAAAGGATCAAACCACTAATAAAACCTGAAAAAAATTGAAATCTCATTTATTAAAATGTAGCAATAATGTATTCTCATAATCCTTAACACACAACACTGAAAACATCTGAGAAAGTAAAGATTATCTCCATAATTCTACAACTGACTTTAATGCATTAACCCTGGTCTCTATCTGGTCTCTCTCTTCGTATCTCTCTCTGGTCTCTCACTCTGGTCTCTCTCTCTGGTCTCTCACTCTGGTCTCTCTCTCTGGTCTCTCACTCTGGTCTCTCTCTCTGGTCTCTCACTCTGGTCCCTCTCTCTGGTCTCTCTCTCTGGTCTCTCACTCTGGTCCATCTCTCTGGTCTCTCACTCTGGTCCCTCTCTCTGGTCTCTCTCTCTGGTCTCTCACTTCGTATCTCTCTCTGGTCTCTCACTCTGGTCCCTCTCTCTGGTTTCTCACTCTGGTCTCTCACTTCGTATCTCTCTCTGGTCTCTCACTCTGGTCTCTCTCTCTGGTCTCACTTTAGTCTCTCTCTGGTCTCTCTCTCTGGTCTGACTGGTCTCTCACTTTGGTCTCACTCTAGTCTCTCACTTTAGTATCTCTGGTCTCTCACTTTGGGATCTCTCTCTCTGGTCTCTCACTCTGGTCTCTGACTCTGGTCTCTGACTCTGGTCTGACTCTGGTCTCTGACTCTGGTCTGACTCTGGTCTCTTACTCTGGTCCCTCTCTGGTCTCACTCTGATCTGACTCTGGTCTCACTCTGATCTGACTCTGGTCTCACTCTGATCTGACTCTGGTCTCACTCTGATCTGACTCTGGTCTGACTCTGGTCTGACTCTGGTCTGACTCTGGTCTGACTCTGGCCTGACTCTGGCCTGACTCTGGTCTGACTCTGGTCTGACTCTGGTCTGACTCTGGTCTGACTCTGGTCTGACTCTGGTCTGACTCTGGCCTGACTCTGGCCTGACTCTGGTCTCACTCTGATCTGACTCTGGTCTCACTCTGATCTGACTCTGGTCTGACTCTGGTCTGACTCTGGTCTGACTCTGGTCTGACTCTGGCCTGACTCTGGCCTGACTCTGGTCTGACTCTGGTCTCACTCTGATCTGACTCTGGTCTCACTCTGATCTGACTCTGGCCTGACTCTGGTCTGACTCTGGTCTGACTCTGGTCTGACTCTGGTCTGACTCTGGTCTGACTCTGGTCTGACTCTGGTCTGACTCTGGTCTGACTCTGGCCTGACTCTGGTCTGACTCTGGTCTGACTCTGGTCTGACTCTGGTCTGACTCTGGTCTGACTCTGGCCTGACTCTGGCCTGACTCTGGTCTGACTCTGGCCTGACTCTGGTCTGACTCTGGCCTGACTCTGGCCTGACTCTGGTCTGACTCTGGTCTGACTCTGGCCTGACTCTGGTCTGACTCTGGTCTGACTCTGGTCTGACTCTGGCCTGACTCTGGTCTCTCTCGTCTCTCGAATCTTCTGACCCGACACCATGGATGTTTTATAACATTTTTATACGATTGCCAGGCCCACGTGACCCACGCCCCTGACACGTCGCGTCGCCCTAGCAACCAACACAACACCCTAATGATTAACGTTTACTTAAAAACAAACTAAAAACCCTCAATGTTCCCTCGGAAGGACGCTGTCTATGAACTTGGAACTTTTACTTCCTTCCCTCACCTCTTTGGTTTGTGTTGGGGCGCGGCATCTGATTCTACATCATGAATATAATAGATCCATGGATCAGATGCCAACGCGCACTGATGACGTCACAGCACGCGACATGTGTTTGTTTATGTTCTAGCCGGGCACGCATGTCCTGTTCCGCGCAACATTTACGATCAGCTGCGTCTCGTTTGGTAATTTATAGTGATGGGTGGATGAAGCTTCATGAAGTGTTGAACCTTTTCATCCATTGGTTCGAGAAAAGGTTCATTTCTTGATGCTTCATATGCTCACAAACCTCCTGTTGGTCAAAATCTGTATTGACAATTGAACTGTTTGTGAGGCTCTTGGTGCATAGGGATTAATACTGGTAACAGAAATAAAAATGTAATTTGATTGTGTATGGCCCATTAATTCATCTGTTTCATTATGATCAATATCAGTAGTGAAAATGAATATATTTTAAATGACAATAAAATATAATGTACTGGTAACTGGTACAGTTGTCTGCTCTAATACACACACACACACACACATATATGTAGATATATATTTATATACATATTTAATGATGAATGATTATAGCTTTTCAAGTCAAAATCAATGTTATAAATCCAATGGGACAAAAGACATGTTGAAAGTGTAACTAAGTGCTTTTCAAAGGACGTGACACAAATGGGGATATCATTTGGGATTGTGACCCCATCAGTTGTTTAAAACCAAAACATTTCTGACAAAATTCTTTCACGTGTATTTACATCGACGCACTCCCGGTGACCGAGGTGAAGTTAGCCGAACGTTTGATATTCGCCTGATATTCGAACAAAATCCCCCTGGATTCAAAGTCTGTCCGTATTTTCAGTTTAGTGAAGAGTGTAGTATTAAATACTGTTCACAATGTTGCCACCTATATAAAAAAAACTTTACTTAGGCTGCAGCTGACGATTTATAACACGAAAAACAATGAAAATGAAGTCTCCGCTCGTACGTGTGATAAGCTCTCAGCAAGGGACCGTCTGCAAAGTGCAAGATTTGACAGAACGTTGCAGATGGGTTGGTGAATACAATAAAAACTGCTTTTAAAAAGTAGTTTTTCCCAGTTTTGATGAGTGTAGTAGCTCCATTTGAACAATAGCTAGCTACTACAGGCAAGAATTTGGGAAAAATATGGTTTTCCCCTTCATAGCAACAAAAATGAAATTGGAAAAATTCACAAAAAATCAACAAAGACTTTTTTTCCCAGATTTGATGGGCGTAGTAGCTCCCATTCAATGATAGCTAGCTACTACAGCCAAACTTTTGGGAAAAATATGGTTTTTCCCTTCACAGCAACGAAAATGAAATTGGAAAAATTCACTAAAAATCAACAAAGACTTTTTTCCCAGTTATGATGGGTGTAGTAGCTCCCATTCAATGATAGCTAGCTACTACAGCCAAACTTTTGGGAAAAATATTGTTTTCCCCTTCACAGCAACAAAAATGAAATTGGAAACATTTACTAAAAATCAACAAAGACTTTTTTCCCAGTTATGATGGGTGTAGTAGCTCCCATTCAATGATAGCTAGCTACTACAGCCAAACTTTTGGGAAAAATATTGTTTCCCCCTTCACAGTAACGAAAATGAAATTGGAAAAATTCACTAAAAATCAACAAAGACTTTTTTTCCCAGATTTGATGGGTGTAGTAGCTCCATTTGAACAATAGCTAGCTACTACAGGCAAGAATTTGGGAAAAATATGGTTTTCCCCTTCACAGTAACAAACATATAATTGGAAACGTTAACTAAAAA